AAATTTTACTGGGTAAAAAAGTTTTACAAATGTGAACACATTATGTTACAGAAATTTTAACACATAAATAAAACTGTAAAAGCACATATGCTGAACTGTCTAAAAAACAGTACAAAGGCCTCCATAGCTGGCATGTGACTGTCCCCATGTCCCACCCCAGCTAACCTAGTGACAGCTGAGTGCCTGCTGGTTTGTCTGTCACAGACTGACTTAAGTGTCACCCTGGTATGGCGCTCCCAAGTGGAAGCCGGGGACATCACAGTGCCTGAGAGATGGACAAGAGAGCTGCTGGGGTCACACACGTGACCAGACAGCCCTCCTGGCCTGTGTTTCTGGAAGAGGCCACGGCTCGTGGGCCCACCGAGCACAGCCAGTGGGTCCCTTTCCAAGCAGCTCAGGATTCCCTGAGGGGCAGCCTGTAGGCCACATGGGCTGTAGGCAGAGAGCCCCCGGGCTGGCATGGTCCTCCCCATCGGAAGCTTCCAGAAGAAGCTCCTTGGACACGGAAGGGGCTCCGTCCCATCTGGGACCTGTGAAGGCGCCCACGGGAAGGGACCTGGGGAAGGTCAGCACCAAGGATGCTGCTACGTCGCAGCTGTTGCCGAAAGGGCTGACTCCAGTTCGGGGCTCTGCGTCCTCACGACCTAAGATACCTTCAGCACCAGCTCGCTGGTAACATTCTCCAGACGCTCCCGCAGCCGCATCTCACGGAGGACCGCCACGAGCCCGCAGGGGGACACGGCGCGCCCCAGCTCGCTCTGCCAGCGTGGCAGCGTCCTGTGGTGCTGCTCTGTCAGGGTCCCCGGGTCCTCGTGCTCACAGATGACAAGGTGGTTCTCCTCCAGTCCCGCGAGCCTCATGAACATCCTCCAGCTAGATTCGGGAACCTCCTGCCCGCATTTGGAGTAGATCCTGTTCGTGGCTGAAAAGAGAAAACTCACGGAGGAAGCCTTGGCCTCGTCCCTGGGAGGCAGGTGTGGCGTGTGCTGTGCGCTGTGGGGGTCCCAGCTGGCAACCAGGTCCAGGGTCGGGGAGGCCCTGGGCGCCCAGGCTGCCCTCGCAGAAGGGACCAGGCAGGGGGACAGGAGAGCGCGGTAGGACACGACCCGGCTGGGCTCTTGACAGGCCTGACCCTCATTCACACGGAGCCAGGGAGCCCGGCAGAGGGGCCTGCGGGGCCCGAGGGGGGGAAGCCCCGGGGTGAGGTGTCCACTGAGGCGGCCCCTCCTGACCAGCGCGACCAGAGCGGCTGTACGGGCAGCAGGGGCGAGGTCTGTGACCTCGCTGGGGTCCTGCTGTCTGACCTTTGGATCTGCCACGTGGGGGGTCTCCCTGACTGTCAGAGGACGAGAGTACAAGCAGCACGCGGCCTGTCGCTGGTGCCGCAGGAAACCCCCACCCCCGTCCCACTGACAGCAGCTGCCAACCCTTGGCGACTCAACAGACCAGGGTTTATTTATAGGGTTCCCGGGGTTCCTTCGGTGTATGGACTCTAACACCCCCTTGTGCACGGAGATCGCAGCCCCTTCCCCACTGGCAGAGACCACTGCCATGTGCTATCAGTGTCCCCATTTCTTCCCCAGGGCGCTTAGGACTGCAGAGAGAGGCTGAACTAACTGAGCAGAGGCTGAGATGCAGGTCCAGGGCAGCTGACATGGTCACTACCAGGTCCTTGACCGCCCTGCAGAGAACAACGTGTGGAGTCACTGACCATGTGACCAGGGACCCCAGGACGCACAGGGACGGGGATAGGGACGTACTGAGCTCCTCCTGCAGCGACTCTGGACATAAACTGAAAATAAAGTCCCGTCCAGGGAATGCAGAGGAGGATCCGGGGGGGATGGGTGTGGGCGGGGCACGGAGGTGGTGACCACCTGCAGCTGGGCCTCACCTTGGGTGCTTCGCTGCCGACGCAGCTCTGCCTGCCACAGCTCTGCCCGCGCTGCGTCTTTCTGAGCTTCTGCTCTCCCCTCTTCCTGGAACAGGGCCCGGATCCTCTTCCGCCATCGCCACAGCAAGTACCACACAGTGAACAGGAGCCCCACAAGGAGCAGCAGCAACAGGGTCACGATGAAGGCCACCTTCCAAGGCTGTGTGTCCCTGAAGAAGGCACCTGCGAAGGGGTAGCGGCAGCCCCTGAAGGGATCTGTCTGTCCCCAGAGCACCCAGACTCTCACTGCCACACAGTCAGGACGGTTTTCCTTAAACGTCTCCCCCCCATGGGATGAGAGGGAGCACGAGGACGCACACACAGTGTCACTGACGTCCCCTCTGCACCCCGCCCCCCCCACTGACTATCTGCCCCCCTCAGTCAGCGGAGTCTGGTGACGAAGAACAGACTCTGGGGCTGGGGGACCTGGGTTCCAGTCCCGGGTCTCCTGCCCGACCAGCGCTGTGACCTTGAACTAATGACGTAACCGTCTGTTCCTGCGTCCTGATCAGTGAGAGCATTCAGTTAGTGCTTATGCAGTGCCTGACGCAGGGTGAGTGCCACGCAGGTTTCATTCAGTTTTCAAAACTAAATATATTTTGTTCTATCTTGTTTACAGTGAAAACAGCCCCTATGCACCTGGTGTGCATGCTGTCGGTCTCAGCCTGTGTCTCGGTCACCTGCCCGCCCCAGCACAGCGAGCAGGCCCATTCAAACCCAGGAGCACCAGCGTTTAGGGCGCTGTCTCCCCACAGCCCGCCACCAGAGGGCTCCACCACCTCGTTTTTCCTTCTGCTGGCAATTTCCCAGGGGCAAAATATTTCCGATTCCTAAGATTTGGCATCCTTCTGGGAGTTTTAACTTTCTAAAACTCATCATTCCTGTATTTGCTGTTTTATCCATTGTGTTCCTTTATGTTGTAAGGACATTAGCGCTTTCACTGAGATTTGGGGTGTACCTATTTCCCCTCCTGGTGTGTTTGCTGATCTTTCCCGTCTGTCCCCACGTCCCACTGCCTGGCTCCCTGTGTGGCAGGAAGAGCTCAGGTGTCTGTGACATAAACCGCTTCAGGGGAAGGAGACCCAGGTCCCTGCTCTGTGCCCTCTGAATCTCCCACGGACCCAGGTCAGCAGCTGACCCTGCGCCATCCCCCAGGGGCACCAAGGAGCCCAGAGCAGGGGGCAGGGCACTCACCTGCCATGGAAAGCCTGGCTGACCTCTCCTGGCCCAGCAGGGGGTTTCTGATGACACAGGAGACCCCCTCCCCAGAGCCGCCTTCCAGGATCACAGACGCTGAGGCTGCATAAAGGCCCTGGGGGTCTGCAGCCTCAGATGCTGCCGCCGAGGACAAGCTCTGTCCCCTGGCGTCTCTCCACTGGATCTGGGGCTGCGGGTACCAGCCGGCAGACGTGCAGTTCACACGGATCCCTCCAGCCTCGTAGCCCTTCATGCCAATGTGGGGATCAGAGCCCAGCGCTGGGGAGGAGAAGTGAGCTGAATCATGGGGGAGCCCTCTGTACTGGTGGGGGTCTCCTCACAGGGAGGGGCGCACACACTGACGAGCCCAGCAGGGACTCACCAGGAGCTGCTCACAGCGTGTGCTGTGCAGCAGAGACTGATCCCCTGATGGGGCCACTGCCTGACCCTGGCTGGACCCTCGTGCTGGATCCAGGGGGCTCTGGGCCAGAGCAGAGGCTGCTTCCCCCAAGTCCCCTTAGAGACTGCCCCAGCCTCCCCTCCCCCCTGTCCCAGACAGGCTGGTCCCCTGTGGAGCTCCTCACCCCTCCCTGGGCAAGCATGGAGGTGGTGCCCCTCAGCCTAAGTGGGTCGCACCCCACTGCCCCTGTCCGTGCTGCCTGTCCTGTGGGGGCCGTGCCCTCCCGTAAGGAAAAGTCACACGGTGTCCTGCGGTCGCCTGAGCAGTGACTCTATGCATGGCCCTTCGGGAGGCTGCTGCTGCCCTCACTGCCAGGCTGCTCGGCTCTCCCTGCAGGGTCTCCCCCCGGAAGTGTCCACAGCGAGGCTGTGCAGAGGGGAACCTTTCCCACGGAAGACAGCGGACCCGGGGCCAGGAAGAGGGGAGTTACTGCCACCTGTCCCCACCCCCTGATCACACGGAGGGGGAGGCAGCCCTCTGAGGACCTGAACACACAGAGTCCTGCAGGGAGGGCTCCTTCGGGGGAGCCGAGGTCTCCAGGAAGGGACAGCAGGCTGAGGAGGGGCCATGCTGGGACAAGGCCAGGGGGCCCTACGGTCCCTGCTCCACCAGCCCCCACGCACTGGAAGCCACAGGGCAGGGCTGTGTCCGGGGAACTCAAACTGCAGCTCTGATGCCCAGACACGGGCACGTTCGTGGGGCAGCACCTCAGACAAGGTGTTCCCTCACTGGGGTGGGTCATGGCCACATCAAGGCCACTCAAGGGTGGGTGACAGTACAGAGGAAACAGGAACCGTGTGCAGGGACCCACCTCCCTGTGCCGGCTGTGAGTGACCAGTGACACCCCCGACCATCCTGACCGCGTCCCACCCAGCGCCCAGCGCTGCTTCCACATCCCCCCGAACCGCACCGAGTCCTCCCTGACGCCCCCTCTCTGATACACCCCGTGTCCCCGTCCCCAGGGGAGCGTCCTCCCTCGCTGCACCGAGGACGGACACAACCTGTTCACCTGCAGCTGTGTTCCCGGGGCTTTGGTGGGGGACGTGGGCCCCACAGGTGTTGCCCCTGCAAGTCAGAGCCCTGGACCCACAGCAGCGGGCCCCTGGGGCCCCACGGCCTTGGTCTGGAACATGCTGAACCCAACAGCCACGTGCCACCCACTGCGGGGAGGTGTCCCCAGCCTTCCTGTCCCCGACCTCCACTCCCCTCTGAGACTGGTGGGCGGCGTGGGGGACTCTGTACTGGGTGCAGGAGGAAGTCACCCTGGGGACCCCTGGGTGTCTCACAGGACTCAGAGGAGCAGAGACGGAGGTGGGGGGGCTATGCTGGTGAGCAGCCCACGTGTCTGGGGTAGGTCTGCAGCCTCTGCCCCCGCCCAGGGAAAGGAGCCTGGAACAAGCCTGAGGCTCACCTGCCACCTGCAGCTCCACCTGGGCTTTTGCATAGAAGTCTCCATCTTGGAAATAACACAGGTAGGTTCCGTTGTCAGAGACGCTGATGCTGCGAATCCGGAGAGCGGCCTTCCCCGCAGTGACGTCCTCTCGTGAAATCGAAGTTCTCCCTCGATACTCCTCTGCCGGCGTGTCCTCCTGCCCGTGTGCGTACGTGTGCACTACCTGCCTGCGGCCAGTTCGCTCCCACATCAGCTGCAGGGTCTCAGCGCTCATCTTCGGGGACAGGTGACAGGGCAGGTCTGCGTCTTCACCCACCATGGCCAGGATGGGCTCAGGGGGTCCGACCACAGCAAACTCAGCTGGTCATCAGAAGGGGGGGGTCCGTCAGAGTGAGAAGGCCCAGAGGGCCAGGGGGTGACCTAGGTAGGGAGGTGAGGTGACAGACCCCTAGACGGGAACTCAGTCCTCACACAGGTGCGGTGTGGACAGGACTTGCAGGGGTGGGCGGAGTCCCGGGTTGTGACTGGGCCCAAAGGGAAAGGGTTCACACACACAGACGCACAGCCGGCCCTACCTGAGCATGGGCTGAGCAGCTGGACCACGGCGAGGCACACAGGGAGGGCAGGCAGACGGGGCACCAGGCACCTCCCCATCCTGACCTGCTGTGCACAGAGAGAGGCCAGCAGGGGCTGGGCAGCAGGGACCACCTGGAAGGAGGAGGAGGAGGATTCCACGTGGAGAGGCTGCCTGCCCAGGGCCGACTCGGGCACCACCGCCATCACTGGGGACCCCAGAGCGTCCTCTGCAAATGTCCCCTGGGGTCTCTTCTCCTTGGATCCCACCATGGAAATCAGCCATGAAACATGGAGCAGAAATGCACGTACCTTATCCCTCGCCAGCAGGGAGCACCCGGCTCTCCTGTGGGAACTGCTCAGAAGCCCCCAGTCGCCCACACTTCCCTGCCCCAAAGAGGTGCATCCCCCAGACCACCCTCTGAGGAAGCCAGGCCCCTCTGCTCTGAGTCTCCATCCCGCTGCTGCCCCCTGCAGGCCGCGCTCCACACAGCAGCCAGCTCGTCCTGCCCCCTCACCTCCCTCCTGCTCAGCCCCTCCCACCGGGTCCATGTCACCAAGGGCAGAAGCCCAGGAACTTTGCACCCTGTGCTTTAAATTATCCGGATGGTCTAAGCCTAAAAGTTTCCAGAGTGGGGAACACATTTCCACATCTTTTGAAGGATATTTATTGTATTTCATTCCTATCACAGACCATTTAAAAATATAAAACATAAAGGAATGACAATTAAATAAATTAGAATGGTAATTGCATCCTGTGTTGCAGGTGAATGTAAACACCTGTGGATGCATTTGGCCACATGTGCTCAAGGGGCGACCCAAAAAGAGAATTTACTTATAAAAATTGAGTTTTTATTCTCACACGTTTACCGTCTCGGTCCCCCCCTGGATGGGGGACACCCATGGGGACGGCCCTCCACCGCCCTGAACACTCTCTGGACTCGGCGGCTCTGACGCCTCTCAGAGCTTCTGCCGTTTTCTTTCACGTCTTACACGTCGGGATGTTTCCCTTTGTGGACTCTTTTCAACCGGGAAAGAAAAATAGTGTCCCTGGGTGAGATCAGGTGAGTAGGGAGGGTGGGCACATGGGTTTTTGGTCAAAAACTGCTCAATATTGTGCAGGTGTGGGCAGGTGGGCTGGTCAATCACCTGTCGGGAAATGGGCCAATACTCTGGGAGAGTCGTCAAAAAATTTCACTTAAGCTCAGCACCGCCTCTCACAAGAATGCCAGCTGGTCACTGGACCAGTGCCCACCCTCCCTACTCAACCGATCTCACCCAGAGTGATTGTTTTTCTTTTCCGCATGAAAAAGTCCACAAACGGAAACATCCCAGCATGTAAGATGTGAAACAAAACGGCAGAAGCTCTAAGAGGCGTCAGAGTCGTCGAGTCGCGAGGACCAGTGGTCAATGCAGGTGGGCTCCTGGAACTCTCGCCTGGCGGGGGAGCCTGCACTACAAGGGGCCCACCCTCCAGAAGGTAATTCCTGTGGTTTATTTTGGTCCTTCCTTGTATAGCAAATGCCCTGAACAAGTTTTTTTTTTTTATGCCTTTATTTATTTATTTGTAGAGAGCGGGAGGGAGGGATAAAGAGAAGCAGAAAAACATCCCTCTGTGGCTGCCTCTCGCACAACCCAGGCATGTGCCCCAGACTGGGAATCCACCATCCACCCTTTGGTTCACAACCGGAGCTCAAACCACTGAGCCACACCAGCCAGGGCTGAAAACATTTATCCTTGCTCCCACGGAATACACTGGCAGGAGTTACTCTTAAAGAAAAACTGGCATTAACACAAAACTTCATATTTAATTGTGCTCATTAGTAAACTCTACAATAGCAAAATGTATACACTGCATCCAATTTTGTTACAATTATAAATAAAAATGTGTATTCAAGACATAATTCCTGCCCCGGCTGGTGTGGCTCAAGGACTGAGCACCAGACTACAAACCAAAATGTCACTGATTCAATTCCCATTCAGGGCACATGCCTGGGCTGTGAGCCAGGTCTCCAGTAGGGGGCGTGTGAGAGGCAACCACACACTGATCTCTCTCTACCTGTCTTTCTCCCTCCCTTCCACTCTCTAAAAATAAATAAAATCTTTAAAAAAATCGTAATTCCTAGACGCACAGGGACACAACACGGAATACTGAGAAGGCGAAAGCTCCCTCTCTCCGATCAGGAGGGAGACAGACGCCCACCCTCACCACCCCCCGCACCAGAGCACTGGGGGTACGAGCAACAGCGGTCACGTGAGACAGAGACAAACAGCAACCAAATCCGAAGGAGGAGGAGCCTTCCCACCGCTCGCAGACGGCAGGACGCGGTACGTAGGGACCGTTTGAGGACCCACAAAATCCCATTAGAACGTGGAAATGAAGGCAGTGAGGTCGCAGGACACAACGTGGACACGGGTGCACTTCCGGGCAGCAGTGACGGGTAACCAGAGGGAGGTGTCGTCAGCCCCTCCTGCGGTTGCGTCCGAAAGCAGAAACCACCCGGGAACAAGGTCAACCAGAGAGCGGACAGCCTGCGCCCGGACGGCTGGAGGAACCGAGAAAGGAGACGAAGAGGGGACACCTGACGGGGGACACACTGAGCTTAGGGTTGGCAGGAGCAACTCTGTCACACCGACCTCGCTGCCCAAAGCCAAGCCCAGCCTCAGGCTGTCCTTGTTGAAACGCCGATGGCCTTCTCCTCAGAAGGACAACAAGGAATCCTGAAATATATTTATTTCCAATCCCTTGCGGTTCATTCCTCAGTGAGGCAGACATGTCAGGGGGAGGCTGCGGCCTTTCTACCTGGCCTGACTCCTGCTGGGATTGAAGTCCCCCCCCAGTGCAGTCCCCCATCCCAGGGTTACTGCCCCGGTGGCGGGAGCGCTGGGTGGGAAGGTGGCAGAACCCCACCCTCCTTCACAGACTTTGGGGCACCCAGAGGTGCGGGGTGAACCTGTGTGTGTTCCTCTCTCGGAAAGTGGCCCTGAATCCGGGGGCCTCAGGGGGACCCTTTCACCACAGACACATGTCATCCTAGGAGACAGTCATCCTAGGAGACAGTCGTCCTGGCCACCCTGTGACCCTGTGCATCTATGACATCCACACTTGGGGTGATTCCTACCAGCCGGGTTGATGTGGGGTGGGCTGCAGAAACCAAGGGCCCCCCGAGCCTCCCTGGGTCCACTCCATACCATCCCGGCATTCGGCACACGGCAGGGATGCGGGCTCCAGGTGGCGGTGGGCCAAGGAGGACTCAGGAGGACCCAGGCTCGCTCAGGTTACACTCCGTGACACAGTCCAGGTCTCAGACTCTCCACACGTAGGAGCCTTTGAAGGGGGGCACACAGTGATGATGGGGGGGCCCAGGGCACAGACCGCCCCTGGTCCCTGCGGCCTCTGCTTGAGGGATGCCACACAGCACCAACCCTCAGCTCCTGTCTCCTTGGAACATTCTGGACTGACTCCTGGCTCCATGTGTTCCAGGGACTGGAGACCTGCCTCATCCTTGGGTCTTCCCGGCATGCGCAGCTCCGGGAAGAGGGGTGCTGAGTGTGCACCCCAAAGACCCTGGCCACCACTACTGTAGCTTCTGAGCCTGTGCGCTGGGGAGCCCAGGTCATAGAGAAACCGGCCTCCGAACTGTCACAGGCAACCAGGTTCTTAGTGATCGGGACAAAGACTTGAACTGAACACCCAGAGTTCATAGAAGAGAACATGGGAGCAGGTCAACTCCAAGCAGAGATTGACCTCAAGGGCTGGAGGGACTTTATTCTTATAGGGTGGATCCTTCCTGGCTAGTTTTGGTGGGCTTTTACTGAGTATATACAAGTAGTTGCATTACTTTAAAGCTACTGCGCATGTGGTTTCCCAAGATCCTCCCCGACTGGCCACCAGGGAAGAGGGTCCCACAATGCTAGGGAATTAATCCCCGTTTCTCCCAGGGTCCCCCTGTACTAGGTTCACCTTTCCCTAAGCCAGAGAATTATAGCTCTCCATGCAAGAGATTGGTGGAAAAGAAAAGTTATTTATTCAAGTTACACAGACTAAAAGTAATGACCTAATGTCTTGGTTAAAATCCCAAAGTCCCTTGAAACACCCACAAACACACATAGTCCTTCCTACCCCCCTTTGCCCAGTCTGGGGTACCGTGTCTCAGGAAAAGAAATAGAAGTGTGTGGCCTTCCTCAGTTCCCAGCACCACTGGTTGTGTTGCCGGGATCTCCAGCTAAAGCCTCGTGGTGATTCTTCTCATGGCTGCGGGGGGGGGGAGTGATCCCCCTTTCTGGGAGAGCGACGGCAGCAGCAGCAGCACCGAGAGGGCTTGCGCGGAGCCCATCGTGTCCTGGCCAGAGCAGGTGGCCGCAAGGTTGGCTAGGCCCGAGAGTGCGGGCGCACCGTGCGGAGGCCTGGTGGTGGCTGGGGCGGCCGGGCAGTGACCCGGTGCTCCCGAGTCACTTACTGGTGGCCCCTTCTCGTGGCTGTGGCTGCAGAGCCGGCTGGGGCTCAGAGCCGGGCAGTAGAGGAACCGCAGGCGGCTACATCCCGGACGGTGTCTGCACGGCTGCGGAAGGCCCCACTCTGCTAAAGCCGCATGGTTCTCTCTCCTCAGTGACTGAGGTCCTCCCTGCACTGCCACAGCTGCATGGTTCTCTCTTCTCAATGGCCAGCAAGTCTGGATTTTAAATCCCCTCGGCCAATCTTCCTCTCCATCCTCATTTCCAACTCCTCCCACACTCGGCTTCACA